CTACAGAGAGGTCCTGTCATGAGAGGCATTGTTAAATTAGAGGCATAGTTGACTGCTTGATTCTGGCAGAGGTGGTCCAAGTGGTTGCTGGCTGATGGGGCCCTTTCCTGGTTTCTTGCTTTTTCCTCTCACTGCCTTCTCTGGTCTAGGACAATGCATCTGGTCTGTATATAAATGCTGGCTTTCTCACACAAGGTGACTTTGTCAGCAGCAAGCCAGGGCTGGGGCAGCCCCTAAATCCTTCTTTCCTCAGAATCAAAGGTGCTTGTACTCCACATTTAATTACACATTAACAAATATTTACCGAGCCACCACTAAGAGAGCACCATGATTAAAAAGCATGAGTTCTGGAGACTGACTGCCAGGGATTAGTGCCACCTCTGCCACCTTTGAGCCCTGTGACCTTGACAAATTATGAACTCCTTTAAACCTCAGTTGCCTCTCCTATGAAAAAAAGGATAGTAATAGGTCTTGTCTTATAAGATTTTATGAAGATCAAAAGAGATAAGGTTTGTAAAGTGCTCAGTCCATTGTAAGAACTTGCAGCAGTTTTACTAGGCAAACTCGTTCTGATAAGCTGTGAACAGGAGACAAATTAATTTACTCCTCTGCTGCCCTTTCTAATCCTGTCAGGTAAGTCCTATAAGGTTCCTTGTCGCTCGTAGATAATAAAAAGTCCTCTGATCAGTTTTCATGCCAAGAAGAGTCTCCTTGCAGAAACTGAAATGTTTAGTCTGGTATAATACCTTAACTTGCCCCAGGCTAGGAAGCCAAGCAGAAGAAATGAGAACAGCCGCCTCCTTCCTCCCACCTCCTAGCTTTATTTTTTACCCACTTAGTAGCTATGATGTTGGACTTCTCCAAGGTCAGGGGCAAAGGAGATTACATGAAAGGGCTGAGAAGATAAAGCAGGAGCCGATATTGAGGTTCTGTGCTTGGCAGGTGACTTCAGCCACTGCTCTTCCCATTTGCATTTGTCAGGCCTGTGTCACATACCAGTACTTTAAATCCCTCTCGCTACTCACAGGGACCATTGTCAGGCTCTCTCAGTGTTTCTCCTGAACCCTTTCTCACTTGGCTGGAGGTCAGGAGAAAGCACATGGCCCTGCTCTGCAACCACAAACCACACAGGACAAGGGCAGAGATCGGGGCTGGCCTTTTGTTTCAATGGCTTTCTGAGAGTCCTGCTGTTCCCCGCCGCCTCTGCCTTTTCTTCTAGTGCCCTGGCTGGTGCTCAGCGAGATCTTCCCCGGCGGAATCAGAGGACGAGCTATGGCTTTAACTTCGAGCATGAACTGGGGCATCAACCTCCTCATATCTCTGACGTTTTTGACTGTGACAGGTAAGGACACATCTTTTTCCTCTACTGTGTTTGTGCTCTTAGGACAAATGTTAGGGAAACACGCTCACATATAAAAAAACATTCTATGTGGACATTTTCAAACAAATTCAAAAGTAAAGATAATGGCAAGGACCCCGATGTACCTACCATCCAACTTAAAAAGTTGTCAATCTTAATCCTTTTATAATTCCACCTGCTTTTCCCAGATAGGATGTCATTTTGTCTGTAGAATTTCAGCATGGACCTCTGAAAGATATCATATTTAAAAACCGTTTGAATTGTACACTTGAACCTTACTGGATTTCGTTAACCAATGTTACCATAATAAAAATAAATAAATTTAAAATATGCAAAAAACCCCTGTAACCACATCATTATCATATCCGAAAAATATTAATAATAATCCTTTGGTATCAATATTCAGTCTATGTTCACGTTCTTCCAGGCGTCTTATAATTATTTTTTTTGTATTCGTTTGAATCACGATCCAAATATGTCCTTTACAACTGATTGATAAGCCTCTTATAATTCATAGATTTCCTTTCCATTTCTCCTCCCCTCTGCCCCAACTTTGTATTTTTAATGAAGAAACTGAGTCATTCGTTTCAGTTTTCCCTAGGTGGGATTTTACTGATTGTGGTCATAGCGCATGACCTTCTGTCCTTCGTGTTTACTGTAAACTGCTATTTAGATCTAGAGGCTTGAGGAGATTTAGATTTTCTTCTTTCTTTGTTTGCAGACTCCTTCATAGGGATGGCATGTGTCCTGCCATGTGAGGCACATCTTGTTTGCTTGTCTCCCACTTTGTCACGTGGGCTTCTTTTGAAGATCATTTCCCAGATTCGTTATTTTCATTCTATCATTCCTTCTAAAATTTTATCTGTACTACTTCTTTAAGGAGAAATTTCTTCTATAACTATTAGAAGAAATTCTATAACTATTAGAAGAAATTTCTCATAACGAATAGCTACTTGCCTACTTTAAAGTGTGGGTCATGTAAGAAAGGAAAAATAAATGCTGGAAACTTTCTTTTTATTTTCTAGTTTTTGAAATAATGAGGTGGTTCCCCAGCGTCCTCCAAAACTGACCAAGGAATTGAATTTTCTTTCTTCCTTTTCAAAAATATATATACACGTATATACATAATCTGTAAAAAGTTTGCAAACAAAGAAACAAGAAAATCTAAATCTCCTCAAGCCTCTAGACCTAAATAGCAGTTTATAGGAAACACAGAGGACAGAGGTCATGTGAGATGATGACGATCGGCAAAATCCCGCCTGTGAAACCAATGACTCAGTTGCTTCATTAAAAATATAAAGTATGTATGTGTGTGGGGGGGAGCGGGGGAGAGAAATGGAGATTAAAACATACAAATTATAAGAGACATATCAATCAATTTTAAGTTATATATTTGGGTTGCGATTCCAAGTATAAAAATAATTATGACAACTAGAAGAATGTGAATGTGTATATGTTATATATAAATTTTTAAAACTGGATGTATACTCAAAAAGTAGATATCTATATACAGTACCTCTGAATCTTGTCAACCACTTTTTTTTTTTTAGCACATTTACTTTGGGAAATGAACTTTTAGAGTTGTTAAATAACCATGGTTTGAGTTTTTATATAAAATTTTCAAATGTTTATGTCCTTCCTACATTTTTAGAAATAGTCCAAGATTAAAGGAAACAAAGGAACTGTCATGAACACCAACCATACTTCTCCTGCTTAGATCACACGTATAGACCTGTGCCCTTCACCTTCACACACACATGTATATACACACGCTCATGCATACACACACACACACACACACACACACACGCACACACACACCCCTTGTCTGATGTTTGTATGGAGAAAGAGAAATACAAAAGAAAGAATGGAATGATAAAGGGCAAAAATAGATGACACAAATCTCTGGGAAGGATAGCTAATATAGAGGAGGAACTAAAGAAGATTCGGAAGTTCTGCACGGCTTCCTAGAACAAATTTTGGAAAAGCATATCAACTTAAAAAAATCCTGCGATGATCTGAAACCTGTAGATGACATTTAACTGTGGTAAGTTTGAAGTTCTATACTTACTTTCAAAAATCAGTTTTCCAAGTAAAAGATATAAGGGCAGCAAGCCCTCGGACACAAACATCTTTAGTGCAATTTCAGCTGTATCAACAAATGCAGTGTTCCAGAGACAAACTTACTCTGCTGTGGTCAGGATACAGCTGCAGCATTGCACTCAGCTCTGAGTAAAATATTTTACTAGGGTTGTTTAAATGTTTTAAGAGGGTTGCAGTGTGTTCACCAAGCACGTGCAGTCTGGGTGGCATGGTCATGTGACCTATAGTCTGTGAAAAACAGTTCAGGATGTTTGACTTGGATGAGATGAGGCTTAGGGAAGGGATAGAGCTGCATTGAAATATTCAAGCAACTGTCATGAAGAAGGAATGGGGAGGGCTGATCCAGAGAACAAAGTAGACCTTCTGAACCAAAGTTCCTGAAAGGTAGACTTGAGGTTAGGAATTAGTAAGGAATGCCTTTTTTAACAGATAGGGCCAGCTCACTGGGCATTGAGAATCTTTGTGAAGTGGTGAGCCCCCTGCGGCTGAAAGTGCTCAAAACAGAACATGGGACAAGTTTGATGAGACAATCTTTTGGTTTCTTTCACCCTCTGATTCTAGTTTTATGCCCCAGATAGGGAGGAAAGACCAATTCTACAAGCACTTTATTAAGTACTCACCTGGGCAAAAACCTGTGCCAGCAGCAAAAACGGTACAGAGGAATCAGAGTTCAAATAGAATTGTCAGAAGAACTGCAGTACTGTTTCTTCTTCCTGCCTCTCCTCTCCTTAGATGGCACAACTGACAAGTGGTTAATATGCTTAGCGCCTTCCACACTGCATTTACAAAACTGCCTCATATGTAACTGTTCAGTCACATTTCCTGAATGACCAGTGATGATTGTGGCTGTGAAGGGCACTTGCACGGTTTCAGCCTGTGGTTGGTCTGAGCCTGTGTTCACGAAGAGCCAGCTTCCTCCTCACGACTCCCTGCCACACTGGACTTTCTGCTGCTGAGCCTGGGGTGGTACAATAAAAATGGCAGGCTCAGGTGCACTGTGGGCCATCTCTTAGCAGTTAATGTATCTTGACCTTGGTCAGTAACTACTACAAAAGGACCGTACTTTTGGCTAGAAGTGGTCAGGAGAAAGACTAGGTGGGCAGATGAGATCCATCCTGCTTCCTGCGGATGCATCCGACCAAGTAAATGCCTTTCATTAGAACCATTATCACTTTTTCCCTCTGAATCCAGGAGGAAGCACTACAAATATGCTGCTATTAAATGATAAAATAATGCCAGCATGAAATGATATAATCAAATGAAAGTAAAGAACAGTGAGCTTGTTCCAAGAAAAGTCTATCTGTATAAAAGTGTCTTAAAAAATGTCCACTCAGTAGAAACCAAACTGCTATAGTAGTGATTCCCAAGAGAGGAATTGTGGCATGAGGAAAGAGAGGAGATCTCTTACCTTCTGCTTTATACGTTTCTGTGTGGTTTCAGGTTCTCTTTTTGCAATGGGCACAAATAGTACCATTTTGAAAAAGAAAAACATGCTCACCAAGAAGATGGCATTGGGTTTAAATTGTGATAGTTACAAGACTACTACTTATTTTACCAGAGGAAGCTGGGATCGTTTGTAAACATGAAACTTCAGAGGCTGGAAATATTTTAAATTTGTAGTTACAGTTTCCTTGGATACTATTGGCGTGTTTGAAAATACATGTTTTTATACATGTGCTAAGAAGCAGCTTTCCACAAGTGGGATCAAAGCAACAGAAAAAATACTTCTAACCCATTTCTATCGGCCTTTTTAGATCTCATTGGCCTGCCATGGGTGTGCTTTATATATACAATCATGAGTCTCGCTGCTCTGGTGTTTGTTGTTGTGTTTATACCTGAGACAAAGGGATGCTCTTTGGAACAAATATCAAAGGAGCTGGCAAAAGCGTAAGTATTATATGCATTACTCTCCAAACAGCATTCTTTGGTCAAAGATACAGTTTTTATATATACAACCAAATTATAATAATATCTGAAATTATTTCAGGATATCACCTTAGGTGTAAAACCACATCTCAAAGCGTAATTCCAGTTTCTCTGCCATGTATTTCATTTGGGTGACTCAGCTAAGGAATTAGGATAACGAGTGCTTTCTGACAAGTGAACCTGTCAAAGCTCTTTCAGTATTGATTGATGACCCCTCTCACCTCCCTAGTGCAGTCAGAGTCTTGTCCTTCTTGGTAAATAATTTGGATTTTATCCTGAAGGCGGTATGCCATGTTTCAAACAATAGGGAAGTGGGGGAAGTAACCAGATTTGTGAAGGAATACTCTGGCAAAATATGAGAAATGGGAAGGGGAGACACTGAATGTGGGAGACCTATGAGGAGTCCGTTGGAAGAATCAGACAGGAAATGGGCTGGCCGAGGTGCAGGGATAAAACCTAACAGCTCAGGGTGAGACTGGAAAAGGCAGCTGAGGGAAAGGTGGGAGTTGGGATCTCTCCAGCTTAGAGAACCCAGTAGACAGTGGGATATGCACTGAAGACCTGGAGGAGGAGAAAGACAGGTTTGGGAGGCAGGAGTCTGGTGGAGGGACAGGGACAATACCGAGTTCAGTTTGGAGAGACTGTGAGGTGCCCATGTGGCATGCAAACGGAGGGAAGTCAAACGCACATTGGGAGCTGGATTTGAAAAATATCTATGTTGGAGATGTAGATTTGGTCCTTACTACATAGTACACAAGCAGAGGCAGATCCGCGTTTGATGGTGCCCAGTTTAAGAAAAATAATACGAATTATGAATTCAAAATTAGGCAAGACTATGTGGGCTTTGGAAGGGGCTGTGTAGGTGAGCAGTCCCGGGCTTAAGTCTCATTGGCTTTATGGAACTCCACCATGTGTATGTGCACTTTTGAGCTACCCATCTACTAGCTGGGGGAGCAAAATTCCTTTAAAAATAAAGATTTGTTAAAATTCTCATGAGCAACACTCATGAAATTGAGGCAGGGAGAAAGTAGTTATAAATTAATTGAAGAAAGCTAAAGGGCTACTCTATTATCAACTCCTTATTGCATTCTTTCTTAAGAATCTAACTTGAAAACAGAATGTTGTGGATGAGTTAAAAACGTTTTAGATCTGTTTTTCACATGGGGCTGTTAGAATGTATCAAACTGCAAATCGAGTGAAAATTCGAAAGGAAAACTTAAGAAAAACCCATATTTCCATGTAGTGGACCTCCAGAATAAGACTTGTGATCTAAAACTCAACAAAACTATTCAGTCAGAAGAATTTAGGGTGAGAAAGGAATCTATCTAAATTAGTTAAGACTCTGAATTAGGAAATGTTTTTGCAAGAATCACATTTCTGTTACTTCGGAGTCATGAGATCACTCAAACTTAAATCTAGACCCTCTCCAAGGAAGTTATAAATTGCAAATTAGGAGAGATCCAAAGGCTATGAGTACTGGGAGGCTGGTATTGAAGAACAAAGGTAGAAAAGGGCATTAGTGTGGAAGATCATGAAAGATGAGGTGGCAAGACAATTCTGCATTTTAAACTCACTGATAGCAGCAGTACCAGTATCTGCTAGGGATGCATATATCCTTATGGGGGAAGCCCGGTACGATGCAGACAGGAAACAAAGTTGCTTTCAGAAATCTTGGCAAACTCCTATTTGTGCAACACTAGAGAGCCTGGGGCTTGTCTTAGCTTGAAGTGGCAGGTTGGCAAACACTTTTAAAATGAAAATGTAGAACCCTTTAAATATGTTCAACTCACTTATCACATTTTAACTGTTACAAACATGTATACTTAGAATCACCAATTAAAAAAAAAAAAAATGCAAACAGCCTGAATCAAAGTATATATGAATTATGCATGCTGAACAAGGTTCCTGGAGGGAAATATCAGAGACAAAAATATAAAAAAAATACATAATGGTATTGACAAGTTATCGAACTAGCTAAGTAAATGTGGGGTGGCTGAAAGCCCAGGGAACTTGCTAGCACACAGAAGCTTAAGTTAACTTGAAGACTAAGGAAGGACACTGCTAAGGGAGTCTATGAATTAGGAGTTAAGGAAAGAATGGATCAACTTTTGTTGCCAAGGAAACCAATGGTTCTGCTGTATATTTCCCAATGATTTGCTTAGGTGTAAAAAAGGAAACTATTTATAATATCAATTAACTTCAAATTTGACACTAAGCATTGCTTAACATTTTCCTCTCTCAGGTTTGGAGTTGGGTTCTTTTACTCCTATTCCTACCAGCCTGAGAAAACAAATATTCATCCAAGGTTGTTAAGTTTCTTATAAAATAAACAGTGACTCAGCTGAGAGGTCAGAAAAGATTTCAGCAGTAATGTAATTTGAAAGGCTTTTGTTTTGAACTTGTGCCAGCTACAAACTCAAACTGGGACGTTTGCCGCATGTGGTATTTCAGCTGTGACTTTTATTCTTTTCCCGGGTTTAGCTGGAAACAGAGAGAAACCCAAGTCAGAAGTTTTGTAAATATGCTAGTTCTCAGGCTTAGATTATTTTTCACTTTTAGCAGTTAATTTTAAATGGCCATCCCTTCGTTCACTCATACACACTCATTTATTCAATAAATGTTTACTGAGCATATATTATGTGCTAGGCTCTAGGCACTATTGTAGTGCTACGACAGCATTCTTCGGTTAGCAAATATCTCAAGAATGAAATGCACTGATAAGATAGTGATTGGGTGATCTGAGATTGGGTGATCTGGGTATTCTGAGAGGTAGCATTTGAAATAAAGTCTGGGTGATAATCAAAGATAGAAGCAAAGAGAATTCAGGCCAAGTGACGAAAAGCTAGTGCAAAGGCTAAATCAGAAACATACTTGACCTGTTCCAGGAACGAGAAATCAAGAGCCTGTAATCTTTGAGATTCAGTTAAAGTCAGCAGAGACTGGTGTGCAGGGGTTTGCAGGCTAAGTGAGTTTGGATTTCATTTTAAGTGCAATGGGAAACTACAAAAGTATTTTAGGCAGGGGAATGACGTGATCTGATTTACATTTTAAGGCATGCCAAGTGCAAGTCTGCCGTCAGTCACACAGCTGAACATGGCTGAGAAAACACACAAGCATAGGGCTGGGTCTCATTTAACATCATGATCACTGACCTCAAGCGGCTCTCAATACCACCTCTCTGGAAACCTCCCTACCTCTTCCGCCCTCCTCACCCCTGCTGATGGCCTTGCTTCTGACACTGAGAAAATGGGCACAGTCAGAAGGGAACTTCCATAATCTTCCACATGAACCCACACATCAGTATTTGTATCCAATACACCACCATTCCTCCGAGTTCTCTCAACTCTGTCATTCCTCTGTGAGGCCAAACACTTCACACCATCTTCCCTTCCGATCTCCAGGACAGTCTCCAATTCATTATCCATATTTTACCTCTCTGCTCCATCTCTACTTCTCAACAGCATAGAAACCTGGCATGGTTTTTTCCCTATCTCAAAAAAAAAATTTTTTTCCCTACCCCAAAAAAAAAAAAAAAAAAAAAAAGTCTTTTGATCCCATTTTCCATCCATGTACTCGCCATGCTCTAGCCATGCTGGTCTTTCTATAAGCATAGTACTTTACTTGGAATTCTTCACATGGTGCCAACTTCATGGCCTCGTCATGGTTTCTGATCAAATGTCACCTCTTTAGAGATGCCAGCAGTATGATATAGTACCTCCAACCCCAACTAAGTCATTTTTTTTCCCTTTGTTTTTCTCATCACTTCTACTACTTGAAATTAAATTCTTCTGTGCTCATCCCCTCTATTCAGATGTAAGCACCTTGAAAACAGGCATACTTCTATACTATCGAAAGCACCTACCACATCACCAGGCACGTTATGAGCACTTGATTAAGCGGTTAAATTCCAAGAAAAGATATCTGAAAGGAGAGAGAGGTTCAATGATGGCCTTCTCTTTTTTAATAAATATAAAATACTAGAGCATATTTTTATGCTGAGGGGAAAAATCTTGTAGAAAAGAACTTAATGCAGGAGCAAACAGTTAACTCAGAAAGCAGACTACGTAAATACAGGGCATATTGGCAGAGTCTAAGAAATGGAAAAAAAATAAGGATGTGACTTCCATTAGCTCAATGAAATGCTATCCTTGGAATTCTCCTCATACAGAAAAATCCTGTGTTCTGAGAAGACACCCCATGTACTCACTATAAGCATGAGGCTGACCAAAGGTCTGGTTTACTGGGTGATTTAAAAATAATAGCCTGTACATTTTTTTTTTCTCAAGTCCTGTAAACTAAGATGATATTTTCATTAGTGCCTCTTTCTCTTTCAGGAACTATGTGAAAAACAACATTTGTTTTATGAGTCATCACCAAGAAGAATTAGTGCCAAAACAGCTTCAAAAAAGAAAACCCCAAGAGCAGCTCTTGGAGTGTAAAAAGCTGTGTGGTAGAGGACAACCAAGGCAGCTTTCTGCAGAGACCTAATGGCCTCAACATCTTACAAATGTCGATACAGTATAAAAACACTTAGTAGGGTGTCTTCATACCAATACATATTGGCCACTCCCATGTCTTGTCTTTAGTATTATGGAGCTAGTTTTAGAGGGACACCCCATAAAGATTACTTTTAATCTCCACTCACAAAAAATAAATGAGGTGCCTCAAGTGACCTCATTTTTACTCTGAACAGGATAACCAGGTTAAAAAAAAAAATACTGGCTGATTCAAAACTTTCCACCTTTTTCACAGAGCAGCCTTTGAAAGACTATAAATTAGTGATGCAATCACCTTTTGCCTTAAGGTGTGTGTGTGTGTGTGCACATATATATATATGAGAGAGAGAGGGGGGCCATTCACACATAAGTGTTCTAAATACGAGCTCAGAGTTTTTTGCCTACTAAGACACTACTTGCACTGGGTCTTGTATAAAAATGAACCAGGACAATTGCACATATGTTCTAGATTAGAATAAGGTCCTGGTTAGGATTTTAGTGATAATTCCTAATTACAGTTTAACAGGTACAAAGATTATGCATCTTATTTTATGAATGAATTATAATGAAATGCAAAATCTTTTATGAATTTCATATTACTATTACAAAATATTACAATAATTCAATAGTTGAGAAAAATAAGTATTTTCCTCATTCACTGAAAAAATATGAATAGAAAGGACAATTTCAAAATCCTTGGACCATATTTATTTAGAAGTAGCTGTTAGTAAAACATTGAATCAGGCTATTGGGTTACTTATCTAAATCTCTAAGCAATTAGGTATGATTTATTAAGCCAAGCTTATAAAATTCTGTTTGTAAAGCATTCATAACTTAATAGCAGTCCATAGTTTCCTGCAATTCTTTGCATTTCTCAGGATTATCACAACCTCAGGTTATGGCATACAGCTATAACTGATACTTTCAGATGACTGCAGACATAATGAATTCTCTCACTGTAATCTTCTCTGTGATGAAACAGAGATCGCCAACTGTACCACAAACTTGGGTTTTCACCCACACAACAATGGGTTGCTCTTGTGTTATTTCCCCAGTCGAATTTCAAGACTTGGAGAGGCGTTTTACCAATAGAATTTGGATGACAGAAAATCTACAATAAAGGATCTCCAACCACCTAAGTAGTAACCCATTAAATTACTAATATTATAAGCTATGGAAGACAACAAAAAAAGCATGAACCACCTAACTTGAAAAGGAATACAAAAATATAATTAATCTGAAGAAAAAAGAATCCTAAGAGTCAAAAACCCTTTTTACTTAGCTTGGATTTTCCTACGGGCCTGTAACAAACCTTCCTAAGTTTGACACGAGGGTGTATGATCTCCATTTTCTTACAACAAAGTGGAAGACTATAACTGATGTAAACAATAGTAAAACTGTATTATGAGAGACTCAGAAGAATGACTAAAAGTCCTGCTTCTAACATGTACTATCTCATTTAGAACTGGCAGGGGGAAATTAAGACGAGAGTTGAGATGTTAATTCTGCCCTGATCATTTCATATACAAATTAGAGCAGCCTTGCTTTTTTTGTTCATTTGTTTGTTATCGAAGAAGAAGGAAAAGTATGTTCTGTAGAGGATCAGCTTAAGAAATTAATTATAAATCTTTGGTGGAACTATATGCTGAGATTTTTTTAAAAAATCAAGACAGGAAACCGATATGAAATTTTCTTGCCAAGCATAACAATGTAAGATATTTAACAAAATTATTACATGTTTTCTTTGAAGTTCAAACACTACATATACTTTAGCTAGTTCTTGGTTTAGCCATTCATTATAAATGTGCAAAAAATTGTTCATAAACCTATTACTAGTGATTTCAACTTCAGTATCTTAAAATACATTCTTATATTTTTCTTTTATTACCCTGAGTCTATAACTAAACTGTCTTCAGAACAATTTTTACCCAATACACCCTCAATCAGAGCTTTTTGATTTTCAAAAATAAAAAAGGGGAAATACTTATAATTTGTATGTATATATTCACAGTTTTTATTTATAAAAAAAATTTACAGCACTTGTGAAAAGCCAGCAGAAGACATCAGACATGCTCGTTTCTTACTAGCTTTGTTAAGTTTTGTAGGTTATCCATGACACTTTGCCAGGTGATGCTCATGCAGCAGCTCTGAAACCTGACCTGGTCAGATTGTCTTTCTTCTTTTTTTCTGAGAAAGCATTTTGATGTGCTACGGATCCACCCGGTTCTCAAGTCACTCAAATACTGAAAATGTTATGACATCTGGATCTGTACCTCGGCCATATAAGTCATGTTTTTTTCCCTTTTTCTATATTTCTTTTTTAGAAACATGGCAAAACAAGAGGTCAGTTATCAATTACTGTAAATTAAAACTAAGTGGAAAATCTCAAATTTTTAAAAGTCTTCCTAGAACCTATAACTTTTTTTCATTAAATGATATTCTCTTTTATTTTATGAGGATATCTATCCTACTGGATCTTTAAATGAAGCAAATGAACAAATGTAAAAAAAGAGAACAGAAGTCTGGAAATCATAATTAAGTCTTTCACAAGAAAGAAAATATAAGAGGCTTTGCCCCCCACTTACGAAGGAGAGGCAGGTAGGGGAAGGCGTCAAGAAGATAAAAAATAAACAAAACACTATGTATCGTTCAGTGCAGTGCTTAAGTTAGATTTTCAAGATTTTATAACATGGTAAGGAAAATGTACTAGAATATGGGGGTTAAAATGCTGCAATTTTTCACAAAGGTTTCAAAACATTTTGGAAATTCAAGTTTTAGTGAAAGCTTGTGTTGGAATATTGTCTCTACTAACTGAGAAGCTAATTTGACTCTTCACTCGGTTTTTGGTGAGCCAGAGAGCCACTGTTTCACAAATACTTTAAGATTAGCCATCCCTTATGATGAAGAGTCATTAAATAAGACACAGCAAGGGGAAAAACTTATCTTGCAAAATGGCTTTAAAATTCAAGTTGAACTGTATTATAATGATACTGTGGCACAGAGGCAGCCTGTGGACCCTGCTTGTTAAAACAGCACAATTTACCAGCTTCTGGTAAGACTCTTAGTAGAGCCTTGAGTACCAACCTAATATTATTACTTCCCTACAACTAGAGGTGAGTCTTCCCAGAATAATAAAGGTACATATGAGGTACAACCCATCACAGCTTCTTTCTCATATCCATTTTATAGGTAAGAGGTTTCTCTTTTTAAAACTACAGTTTTATAACCTTTAAAAGATATTTATATTTTCTATCATATTAAATTAGCAACATAAAACATTAAGCTTAATCTATAAAGTTCTACTCCGGTTCCCTAGAATTTATATACACGTTTTTATTTCTAGCAAGAAAAAATTTCCTATTCAATATTTGGTAACAGAGCATTAAAAGATATTATATACATGTGGCATATATATATTTACAAAATACACTTCAAAACGAAGCCAACACACTTTAGCAAAAGTCTAAGCTTGCATAGATTAAAAAAAGAATTATGAATACAATTTTTATTAAAATAGAAAATGGGGAATAAAAGTTACAGAATGGATATGAAGAGAGACCTTTTCCAAACTTTTATTTGTGCACATTCAATTGAAAAAGATAACTTTTACAGGTTCTTTGGTGCCCATATTCAGCATACAAAAATGTAAAAGACTATTCACAAATAAAACACATTAGCTCAAACTGGAAAAAAATAACAACTAAACAATTTAAGGTAGTGCACACTGTGACAGCTCTGCTTATGGGGACATGAGAATTACTGCAAAAATAAATAGAATGTCCTTTTGTAAAAGCAGCAACGTCATGTCTTGTAAACTTCCTTTTTATATTACAGCAAGGTTTGAAATAAAACCCAAAGGGCCTGGAGCTTACACTGCAGCCATGAAAGAATAAGAGTCTATTTCCTCGATTGCTGTTGGTCCAGTTTTCCTTCTGTTTTGAGTCCAATGTGCAGCAGGTTTTAAAAGGTGCTCAGTTAGGGATTCTAACCAATTAAGTGATGAATTACAAAATTTCTTTCCTGCTTTCAAACACAAATGGGTAAATCTGTTCCACAGCAGTAGCAACAGCCTTTACATTGGGCCCTGTAACCAACACAATGAAGGAATGGTGAGAAGCAGAGAGAGCACTTAGGCAAAGTTCATTTCTCAGAATTAAAAATATCTAAGTACTTTCAGGCTCATTGTTTTAAAAAATCTACACTGACATTATTATACACAGAGTCACAATAAAAACCGAGAGAATAAAATTTTTTCTGGACAATTAAAAGAAATTTGAAACAAAAATGACGTTACTCATCTTGTTTTAGGGGACCAGTGTGAAGAGTGTACATAAAAAAGGTCACACGAACTACCACAGAGGAGAATAAAAAGTGCTACAATATGCTTATTAAAGGGAGAAATGACAAATGGGATTAGTTGACTATTATCCCTTCGGTCACTGGAGTGTGGCTTTTGGTTAGGCTACTTTGGAAGCATATAGGAGTGTTGAGGAACTCAGCAGAATAAAACAAAAGCGCGTCCAAAGTGCTGGGAAACGGAGGCTGTTATAAAACTACAGTCTAAAAATGTCCACCCATTACTACTACTGGGCAGCAACATGTTTGCTACTAATCCAGCCATCTCGCCCTCACAGCTCACTCAGTCGACAGAAAAAAAAGCACAAGGAGATGAGGTGACACTACGTATTAATTAATCCATATAAACTAGAAATGACTTTTCTAAAAAATGTAATCTTTCATTTAAATAGCTCAAAAGACACAAAAATAGGCAATGAAAAAAATTTTCATAAAATTCATTTTGAATAAAAATGGTTTCACTAGGGAATAATGACCTCCTTTGAAAGATCCTGAAAATGTACGTGTGCACCCACTGCCCCTTTGACGGTGCTGATCATATCACATCCTGGTCTGCTCCTTTCTGACACCTCACCCCCTCCACAGGGGACAGTGCTTTGCTCACCAGAAACAATAAGTGTGTGTTCACTGAACTGTTAACATTTCATGATATTCCAGATGTAAATATATAATGCATACTAATTGACCAGGTCAAAAGTTTGTTATTGAGTTAATTACTAACTCAATAAAGACAAAGATTTTACAGATGCATCATTTTATTCTATACTTAGTAAAGACATCAAAAGACTTTGGGGCCCCTCAGAAGTCTGGGTTCCGAAGTGTAGAAACAGGTGAAATAAGGGAACACTTGCTCCCCACCACTCCATTTTTAAGATTCAGGCACTATCCTGGTGATAGGCATTAAAAGTCTCCAAGGAAAGTGTGAAAACCCATAGGTGAATAAAAACTAAAACTTATCTGTTGAGAGTTTAAAGGTATCAATTAATAATTTTTATTCTCCTCTAAGGATTGAAGGAATAAAAAGAAAAATTCAAAGACACTAAAGAAATTTCCCTTAACTCAATTTTGCCAAAAGCTGGGCCTGACTCCCAAGTAATGTCTCTGTACAATTTATAACTGCGGTACCATTAAAAAAGCATCCTGCATGGCTGATGCTACCCTTTGACTTCTATGCATAGTCTTAAAACCACCCCTTCAAAATACTTAAAAGACTAAAAAAATATAACAAAATATATATAATAAGTAACAAATAGGTATCAATTATATTTAAATATTTTGCTTATGTAAAATCTCTATGTTCATAAAGTGTGTTTCTCTTAACTATTTTAAATGCAAGCTATTGTAAATGAAAAAATCATATTACGAAAATATATACTAGAATATTCTTAACACCTCCAAAGTGGAAACTATCCAAATGCATATGGACAGTATATTGACACACTGGGTATTATATAGCAACGAGAATGAATGAGCTAGAGTTACATGGAACAATAAGGATAAACCTCACTGTGATAATGATGACTAAAAGTAGATATATAAAAAATAGTGTATAAAAGATTTTAAAATAGTATATGAAGGCAGGTAAAACTATCCACAGTGTTAAAAGTCAAGAGACTGGTTCCCCTTAAAGGGCCAAAGTGGCTGATAGGGACAAATTAGATATTATTTCTGATTTGGTATGTACACCTCGTAGTTCATTCAATTCGTAACTGACAAGTTTGGTTCCAATATCATAAAATACCTGTTACTGTGATACTTCCTGTTGAAAAAATCTGTAATGTAGCTCTTAGAGATTTTATCCGATAGCACACAGCAGGATGAAGTTCAGGTTCATAACTATACAAAAACAACCTCAATTAATATAAATATTTATATAGCTTGACAAGTAATTTCAAATTTGATAAGTTATCTTGATTTCTGAAAGACCTACCTGGCATGAGGTCTATTGTTCTTTGTGAATTCTGGCAAACGGATTTCAAATGGCATGTTACATACTGCTAAAACGTTAACAACCTTAAAATCTGTAAATATTACCTTTAAGAGAGAAGTAAAACTCAATGAATTATTTTGAAACAAAAAATCTGCTTTCAGGGCAATCCTTAATAATTAAGTTTCAACCCTTAAAAATAAAAGCAAACAGGATAAAACAGATATCTTAAGCATGAATCCAGTGTTTTAAGTTATCAATGACTTCTTAAATACTATAATTAAAGAAAAAAACTCAAAAACCTCATTAAAAAAATAAATAAAACCTGAGATATTTGCATGATTAAAACAGTTCATCTGGAGGGTCTTTTGAATCTTACGTTTAATTTTCTGAAACTTTAAATGGGAGATTTAATCCACTGTGATAGGAGAGTGAATAACAGAAAAAAAAAATCAAAGCAGAGATCTCTTTTCGAGAGTTAAAATAAAAAAGTCGTCACTTTAAAACTCAATAAACAGTTGAGTGTATACTAAACTCCAAAGATCAGACTTTTTCTTCTATGTATAAGGTAAAACAATATTTCTGTGAGTTTAGTTAGATGTTCGTTTTCTTTGGGGATATAGAAGAGGGATACAGTGATAAAACTGTGCCTTTAACTCACAGGGATTTCTTTCAATATTTCTAATTTTATGCTAAGACAAGAAGCTCCAAGGCTGAAAATAATGTCCACTCAAAATAACTTCAGCCATTCCTATCAATATGTTGAAGAGTTTTACCATCTTTTCAAACATTCCCAGTAAAGCTATAATTCTGGATAAACTAACCATCCTCCAACGTAAGTACTCATACAAGGCAGCTTTAGAAAGTCATAAAATTGTGTAAAGTGGCACCATCATTAATCATGGCTCTCTATACTGCCACTCTCACAAGCTCCAACACCCCCAATACCCCGCCAGCACTGCAGTACCGTCCTATGACCCTCCACCTTAGAGGCCGAAGTTGTAAGATAGAAAACTCAACTTCCATCACTTCCATCCAAGTCCCAAACAGCCTAGAACCACCTCTTGAGAGACCATAGACTATCTTTACCTGTCTTTCATTTACTCAAGTGACCTAGCAAGTTCACAGTGTATATTAACTTTATTCAAATTTATACCTCTATAAAATTGTAAATGATAAGACTAACCTGACAGCAATGGTCATTGTACCAGTGTGAGAGCATGCCAACCAGTGTGTACATGTCAACAGGGCCTGCAGCTCTCTATTCATACCACTCTTGAGATGACCAAAAACATATGATTTATTTTTTTTTTTCATAAGAAGTGAGGAAACTTAAAGAGTTGAAAAGGTAGTTAACTTGTAAGGAAACAAGTCTGTCGGTACAAGAAAGAATTTGGAAAAAAAACCAGGATCTTTTACAAATATCCACATGGACAAGATTTGCTACTAAATTTTTACACTGAAAAACAGTATAAAAAACCTAGAAAAAGGTCAATCATGAGAGAAGTTTCTGCGATGATTTCTTTAGTCTATTAAATTCAAACTTTTAAATTTACAAAAATAAATCCCTGAATATTTGCAGTTGAGATATTTTTTGAAAATGTTACCTGAAAACCTAGTTTTTGGAGACTGCGAGCTAAACGTCTGGCACCAAATTTAGCTTCTTCTTCACTATAGTTTTAAGGAAAGAAAAAGATTATCAGTTATACAGAAAAAAAATTTTATACTGAGGAACATGACAAACTATACATATAATTCTGTTTTCAAAGTCTAGAAATGTACTTTCCATGATGGGAAAATTAAAAACCTAAGTAACAATTACCTTGTTGCTCCAGTGCAAATAATTTTTCCTGAGGACCAAATTGTAGCTGTAATTCTAGGTTTTCTAAGCTTCATTAATACTTTCTGGAAAAAAAATTACATAATAAGGATTAATTTTCACATATGGTTCTGCTCTATGTGGCTATTTTAATGTTTAAATACTACTCCAAGCTTACCCAAGATTGAAATAAGTGTTCTCCAAATCACCCATTCTGAAAAAAGTACCATACTGAACAAAAGAATGTATTAATATAAAAGGACATTTAATTAATTTAAAAATACATGGCCTGTATAAAACTCTCTCTAATACCTGAAGTCAATATACTACCAAGTATATAAATTTCATCTCTCATTTCATTCCCGTAATGTAACTGCAATTTATAGTTTGCATGGATCCTCAAACATGGCAAATTTGTTCAAGCCTCAGGAGCTTTGCAGTAATTGTTACTTTCATCTAGAATATTTTTCCTTCAATACTCTCATTTCATTCAGGTCTCTCACCATGTCACCTCCATAGAAAGGCCTTGCCTGACTTCTATCAAAACAAACATCCCTCTACATTCTAACTCTGCTTTATTCTGATTCATGGCACCCATCACTACCTTAATTGTATCTTATAGTTGAGATGCCTATTATATATTCAAGTTCCATATGTGAATCTTGAATGCAGGCAAAATGGAGCTGGAGATGTAATTCTACATTTATTAGATATGAAAGGCATTTAAAACTATGGGTTTGAATAAAATTACCTACAGAGTGAATATAAACAGGTCAAGGATTAAGATACAAGACATGTAAATTTAAATTTTCAGTGCAACTTTTCATTTATGAAAATATTTATTATATACCCATTATGTGTAAGAGAGATAAATCTTTAGTGAATAATGTAACACATAAACGAATTAGACATTTTCCCTTAAAACTTGTGTTACATTTTGAGGTCTTCTCTTTCTCTATCATATGCCATATTATCGAACTGGAAAGCTATTCAATCTGGGGAGACAAAATTTATCAAAGATTCAAAATAAATTTGAGCTAAAATACATTATAAAATTTTATACATAAGTGGCTGAGAAATACTAGACTAAGTTTATTCTACATTTAATTGTCTTTCACCACCAGCTTGTCTGTCAAGTCAGCTTTTTCTGTTAAGCTTCCCAGGAAAAAAAGACTTCTTTGCCATAAGGCATGCTGAAAATTTCAAAGACGCATTAGGTTTTCCTCTAAACTTTTTAGCAGACATATTTACTCCTTTTTAAAAATGAAGATGGCATTACTGATGAACTTAAAAATCTTTAACTGTGGGTCACTGAAAATTTTAACTGAATTTAATTCACCTTTACTTAGTTTTTAGTACTAAGAACTAATGATAATTTACCTATGTAGGTGGCATCTAATTTTTAGATCTTAAATAAAGCTTTCATATGTATTCTTAATTTTTATAATAAATGTAGATGATATATATCTCATCATTCTTTGGTTTATAAAAGTCAAATGAACACCTGTCATTTATGATGATAATCTCAAAACACTAAGGTTAAAAGCAAGTTGTCAGCTTTTAAGTATTACAGGTTTAATGAAAACTAAAATTTAAAATGTACAGACTAGGATATGAACTCTATTTTCTAGCAATTTGTTACTAAAGAATACCAACTATCTCATGTAATTAAAGAGGCTATGCAACATACTACAAGATTTACTACACACACGCACAAACACACAGGGGCATCACCCAGGTATATCTGAATAAGTATACATCAAAGTGTTAACATCCCCTTCTTCAGTAAAAAGAAACTGAGAGAACATAAAATATATAGCAACCAGTGAGCTCTTTAGTAAGACTTGGAGATGAGTATCTCCAAAAGCTGCCGCTTCATGAGAGGTGGGGCCACTTCTACATAGCTCACTGCTGTATTCAGTACAACAAGCACATGGTGAGGTGCTCACAAACTATTTGTAGAATGAATATATTTTATTATAACATTTGTAGCACTATGAAATTAGACTATGCAGCATACATACTAAAATTCAGATACTTACTCCAACGTCACGCTTATAAATTACATTTGCTCCCTCCAAAGCAATCTTCCTTAAGTTCAAATGACATCTTGTTCTAAAAACACAGACTACATTTGTAATCAGAATGTCCAATGCAACATCACTGTCTGCATCCATTGGGGTAGTTTAAAAACTTAGCTTCCCACCACGAAGATCACATCCTGTGAAATAAAACAAAATGAAAGTAATTAAATGTTCTGTGAATTTTCAAATAATCTTGAAAACTAAAGTGTAAAAAAATGATTATTTTTTAAAAATGTTACTCAAATCATGTTAGGGCAATTCTCCGAATGCACCAAGTTCAAGGGCTACACTTTGTGGTCTCAATGTCCAACCATTAATGGTACTATAACGCATCTCATATAATTTCCTAGGGTGGACCTATTTTTCTCTACTTAGGGTAGAGTAATAGACTTAAGTTTAAAGAAGTAGAAATACTATTTATAACATTAATTAAAAGACTTCTCATTTACTAGTCATTCATTCATTATCTACTTACTGAACACTTTCTATACACTGAGGATATTGGGGTAAAAAAATGAATAAGGCAAAGTCTTCCGTCCTCAGGGAGCTCACAGACCTGTGTGTGTATGGAGGAGCTCTAACGAACAGTTAGCACAACACCATTTTTATCAAAATCACAATCTTCCACAATATATATCTTTCCAAAACTATGATAGCATTTATATAAACAAACAAAAATGAGCCCTCATTTGTACTAAGCATATGACCCATATCCAGCTAAAAAATTCTTTAACTGGGTTTCCACATCTTAAAAAAATAAGTAATGGTAATTCAGCTTATCTAACTCACAAAATCAGAGAAGAATAACAAAACTATTATAATTATCTTTAATATTCCTTGCGGCCACAACATAAAGAACTAGTATTCTTTATAAGGATTCAAATTATTATGACTAAAGCAATGAAGATTCCAAGAGTCCAAATAAAGTTCAACCTTGTTTTTTTGCCTTTCAGTATCTGATGGAACACAATGAAAAATCAGATCAAGACTTCTGGCACAGCATCCAATTCTGTGTATCAATTATACCTCAACTTCACTGTATTTTCTCACTTTTAAGTTCCCTTCAATCTGCTTATCTTCTTGTTTTTCTGTTCTTTGTGTATGCTTGAGCAACCTCAATAAGTCATGAGACAGCGGTGGCAGTGGCCCTGATTGATAGGTAAACTAACAAGCAGAGGACAGAGGCAGTTATCAATATTGATCTTAAGCAGCATGCTCAATGTCTGACCAACCACTAACAGGTTATGAGAACTTGGGCAAGTTATGCAATCTGTCTGTGCCTCGGTTTTCTCACCTGCGACATGTAATAGATAGTACCTACCAGATAGTGTCGTGGGGATTATATGCAATGTTTAAAAACTACTTATCATATACATCTGGGAAATAATAACACAAAAATAACAGTGATTATGGGTAAAATAAGTTCAAATCAATAGGCAGAACAGATTTCTTAGCATCATTTCCCATGATTATAATAGTGAATTCCAAAGTATTTCTTTTAATACTAGGTGTGGAAAAACCTTAAGTGGACAAGCCTGAAACTTGACTTCCAAAGCCACCTATTTTCATATGAATGCAAAAGAACTAGGAGTCTTTTTTTTCTCTACAAGCCCTTAACAGAATGTCCATAAAAATGTATATGTATGTAGTATACTTTATATATTTCATATTGGTTCATATGTAAATTTCCCAACTGGTTTGTATAGTTCCAGAGGGAATATTAAGTGACTCCATAAAAAAATATAGTATTTCAAAGTCACATTTAAATTCAGAAAGCTGTTACACCTGCTAACACTACAGTATGCAATATTTAAGATATACAAAAGGGCAAAAAGAATAATGCAATTAACATCTATGTACCCCTTACCCAGCTTAAAAAATAAGCATTACAATTGATGCCTCCCCTTGTACTCCTCCCAAACCACATCTGCATCCCTTTCTTCCAGAGGAAACCTCTACTCTGAATTCATGTTTTATCATTAATTTAAATTTATTACATATATATTATACCCCTAAACCAAATTAAATCATGAGCAAAAAAACTTCCACACATTGATGGATTTGCTTTCCTAACATCTACTGTAGGATTGGTACATCTATGCTCATAAGTAGAATTAGCTTATAATATTTCTTTCTTGGACTGTCCTTATTTGGTTTGAGTATCAGTTATACTAGACTCATTAGACAAGTTTGGGTGATTTTTTTTCCTTCTTTTTTTAATTCTCTGGAGGACAGTTTATAAGACCTAATCTGAAAATTGTCTGAATCTGTTTCTTTGCTTGGTGGATTTTAAAAGGCTACTTTAATTTCTTTAAGAGTTTTAGGGTAGTTGATGTCTTCTATTTCTTCTTGAGTCAGTTTTCCTAAATTTTTAAATTTATTGGCACACAATTTTTCCTATTTTTAAATAAATTTTTAAAATCTCTGCTGTAGTATATTTACCTCTTCTTCCTTATATTACTTATCCCTGTTTTTTCCCCCTTCAACCATGCTGAATGGTTTCTCTATTTTGTTAAGTTTCTTTAAAGAACAAAAACTATCATCAGTCAATTGATGCTCTTATATTAAATTTTTTGCCTTATATGTATCATTTCCTTCTACAGATTTATTCTTTTTCTAATTTCTTACACTGGAAAGTAAGCTGGATGCCTAAAATGTATGAACATTTAGGGTGATTACAACCAAGTGGTTTAGGTATGTCTTAAGTTGGATATATAGTGTATTCATTATCTCTGGATTCTAACAACATTTAAATTTCCACTATTTTTCTTGGACTAATTATTTATTTATTTAGAAGTTCTGTGCCTTTAGAAATACATCGTTTTTAAGTTCACTAGTAATGAAGAAATGCTAACTTAAAGGAAGGAAAGAGATACCACTTATTTATACTGGCAAATATAAAGGAGTACTTGTGAAGGTGTGTGTAAACCAGCATTCTCTTATAATGTGGAACAAAAACCTTCTACAGGAGATAATCTGGCAGTGTGCATTCAAATAATTTAAAATGTACATATACGTTGAATTGCAGTCAATTGTTAAGAATGCATCTTGAAAATAATTCAACTGAACAAAGTATAAGATTATACACTGCAATTTTGTAATAACAAAACAATCTGTATGTCTATCTTGAAGAGAATGAATAAAGTACAGCAGTTTTATATAATAGACTACTAAGCAGATTTTGCAAATCATAAAACTACATGAATGTAGACAGAGGTCCAAAATGTGAAAAAAAATTACATGTTTGTAAGAGTTCATTTTGGTTTATATATCTACATATGTACTGATATGTAGCCAAAGTGATAACAATTATTATATTCAGAGTTGGCAACTGAGTGACATAAAAAATTTTTTTCTTCTATTGTTTTGCAGAGATATTTTTTAAAATAACAAATACATATTAGATTCACTATCAGAAAAATAAAAGTTAATTCCATTTTGATTTAAATAAATTATCAGTTATTTTCCCACTGCCCAAATTAAGACATGCCTAATATTAAGACATGGTTTAGTCAGGTGTTTTGTCCTGTTTCTTAAGTAAATACCTAGTATAAGTATGTCAAATATTTCCTTCAAATAAAAGCAAAGTTCACAATTGCAGCTGTCTTGACTTCAGAAATGTCATATTTCTGGCTTTCTATTAAAATGAATTGTAGAAGCTGAAGCAACTTCTTTCTCAATCTATGATTTTATGGACAAGAACACTTGTGTTCTTTAGGTCCTCTGACTTTCTAGTGGTATTAAAAACATTCAGCAACCATCACAAACTGCAACCTTAAAGCGTAGCCTGGAAAACACTGCCACCTCTTGGCTTTTAAGACAAATTACATGTAAGACTATTACATCTAAAATTTTCCACACCAGGAAAGATAATGAAACTGAAAGGACACAATAAACATTGTCATAAAAAGAAACCAAAAATTACTCTAAAATCTAACTAAAAGCTAAAGAATGAAACTAAATAAACCAAAGAATACAGAAAGTGTATTCAAGTTGCATCTGAGGTACTGAGAGAGAGGCCTAAAAGGTTTAACCACAAAATTACCATACATGATTTGAAACGGCAAAAGGGTAAGACTGGATATAGACTAATTTGCAAACACAACAAAAACTCATATGGTCTCTTAGAGATCATTCTTTTCTAAAAGAAAAACATGCCATCTAAACTAACTCTTCTTTACAAAGCTTTCAAAATAGCAGCTTAGGAAACAGACATTTCCTACTGTGATTCCAACAGGTAGATTACTATACTTCAGTTTCTCAACACATGCCTGTGACAAAGATGCAGAAACTGAACATTTTGCCTTTTAGAAAAAGGATATTCTTTTATATCTGTTTAATAGTACAGCACATACCTTACTTTTCTCTTGTGGAAATTTATAATAATAATATCACTGTACCTCCCTGGATGCTTTTAAGGATTCAATATAATTACCTATGTCAAGTACATAGCATATGACATGTTTATTAAATGGCAGCTATTACTGTTTGATGAATTGATATGTAGTTGAACACTGTAACCAAACAGTATTTAATGAATTGATACAAAACTTGAGAACAGTCACATTAATAGAGAAAACCAAGATCTTCATAGGTCAAGCAGGGGTGAGCAAAACTATACCCAAAGGTCAGTGCTTGTTCTATAAAAAAAGGTTTTATTAGAGCGTTCCTTTGAATAATGTTGCCCCATTCATGAATTGCTTCATAAAGCCCATTAGATCTTTAAAAAAAAAAGTTTTATTGAAACATAACCATGCTCATGTGTTTATATAATGACTGTGGTACAGTTGAGTAGTTCTGCCAAAGCCCAAATGACCCACAAGCCTAAAATAGTTACTATCTGGTCCTTTAAGAAAAAGAGTGCTGTTCCTGGGCTAGCTCAATGAGGTAATATTAATAAAATAAAATTTAATGCTTATAAATATAAAGCTTACATTTTTATTTAAATGACCAAAACATCTGTATATCATGGTCCTTCTTTCAATCCTGGTTTGAAAAAACAGCTCTAAGCGATATTTGAGGGAAATTTGAATATGAATCCTGAATGATAAATATTAGGGAATTACTGTTACTTTTGAGTGAAATAATAAAGTGGTTATGTAGACAAATAAGCTTGTTAGAGATGCACACTGAAATA